AAAAAAAAATGATTCAGTCCACGCAACACTCATCAATCACTTATTTAGATGCAACTGGCTGTGCTAACAGGAAGATGTCCATTAAACAAAATGGGAGATATCATGGTCTGCGCATCAGGCTACGAAGATGCAACAGCTTGCTGTGAAGCCTATAACGTGTTCGAGCCTGGATATGAACAGTGTAGGCCATATTGCAACCCAGCAGCGGGGCTTCCGCAAGGAGGACTACTCTCAGAAAAATATAAGTGCCTGGCAAAACTGTCCGCTATCCAGCAATGCTTCTACGTTTCTCAAAAACCCTAGACGTTTTCGAAATTTGGTGAGTCCAATAAGATTTTCACTGATATTTCCGTGAGATCCGATTCTATACCGAAATTTCAAAATTTGCCATGTCCATCAGAAAATTATGTTTTATGAAGAACCATAAAAAAGAGAGACACTTACTAAAAATTTTAAAAAAAAGTTATAGGGATTATATCTTCACAAAATAGAAGAAGAACAAATTAGAGTTTACTTCAGATCATTTTAAAACTGCCAAGAAGACTACTCTCTCAGTTTACTCTCTGAGGGCTCTGAGAGCTGCCAGATGTGCTCTCCGAAATTCTCACGGCTGCGGCGTACTTTACTCCAACGATCGATTAGATTAAAGGACTCTGATTAGATATGTTGTCTTTAAATTCCAGTGCAATGTCTCCAATTGTTGAATATTATTGCGAAAATTATGTGCCATTCCTGGACAATTCTTCGCCAGTTTATTAATGTACAATAATAAATAATATCCTACATATAGACTAAATATTGACTTACATCTGTAACACTCCAGATTTTTCAAGAGGAAGAGCTCCGCATGGATGATAACTCATGACGCCAATAAGGGTAAAATAGTACATCGAAGCACCATCGGCCAGGTTCTTCACAGAAAACACATCCGTACCAGAAGATAACTGAGATATTAGCTTGATAAGGAGCTTACAAAAACGTCCAGATATTTGTACCCGCTCAATTTTGAAGTAAATTCTAGCTGAACGTGGCAGAGAGATCTACAAATAAAGGATGGTGGCCAAACTGAGTTTAATCTCTATGCAAAGGAAATGAGAAGGATAAAAAACCAGTTTTTGAAGGAACAGAACAAAGCCTTCTTATGTTACAAGCCTTAAACGGTAATTTCACTAAAAGGGTATTCTTCCTGGATTTATCTCATATCTCATTTGTGACTGGCGATAGCGTCGTAAAACTCTTACAACGCATCATTATTTACCACATTTTTGCGACGCTTCAAGCAAAATTAGATCTATCGTCTCCATATGGCCAAAAAGAAAAGGCAGATAGCGAAGTGCTGGAAGCTCACAAAATTTTCCCCACATATGTCACCCTTTTCGTCCAACTCACGAGCAAGAGGCGCCCCCACATCACACACTATCTCTATCACGAAAAAATTTTTTTACCTCCTTTAAAGCTTCGGAGAAATCACCCGCATACTTCGTTAGAATTTGCAAGAACCTCTCTTCTGTGTTGGAAAGTTCTAATGCTGTTATTATCGCATTACGAGCGACAACAAGCTTGAATCTATCTTGATTCCAAACTTGATGAAGACCACTTTGAGGAGACATCGCGACCATCATCTGTGAGGGACTGCTGGTTTTGTGAAAGGCCCATATGTTTTCTGCTAACTCACTTTCTCAAAGAGAGCAACGATTCTGTCCATACAATGAGAGCCAACAAACTCCTTTCCTCTTTCTTCTAACATTTTTCCCAACGGAAGACTGGCATCATTACTTGTTTCGTCCATTTTCTTCATGTCTATAGGTAATCGAGCAAATAGCAATGCCGCAGCTCCCCAATTGATTCCGCCATCGCCACCACTTGTAGCTTCGATTACAAGTGAGAGCAGAGATGATGTCTCTGCAAGAAGGGTTAATCGCCTATGGAAGCACCTCCGCAAACTCTCACCGTAATAACTGATGAGAGGACAAGTCAACGGTTTTGGAGAGCAGAAAAAAAGAGAGTAGTGCGAATCAGCTGCAGGTTCCAAAGCGGCACTAGCAATTGTGCATTTGTTAAGCATATCAAAGCGATGGAGAATCTTTGCAGCGTTTCTAGAAAAACAAATTACTAAAAAGTAAAGGTAGATACAAAGATATGATACCCTGAGTGAAAAAATGTGAAACGATCAGTTTGATTAGGATCATAATAGCCGTGTGTAGCGGCAGCAGCACTACTCTGAGCCAAAGACTCGCACGCTGACTGCACAAGTGTTGGCATAGATAAAATGGTGGCTCTCCAAGAGTGTGGCATGATGCCAGGTGCCTGCAACAAACAAAAAAAAA